TATATATAATATAAATACATGGAAATTTTCGAACCCTGATTCATCCAATCGTTACATTAAACTTCTTACAGAAGGCTTTTAAAATGTTGTAATAGTCCATTTTAACTGATGATGCTATACATGTTAATTATCATACGACATATTCACAAATGTATTTGATGTGTTTTTTGTTTTGTTTACTGATCATTTAAATTTTACTTATGAAAATATATGAATGATTGTCTTCACTTACATCATGCTTTGACATGTTTTTATGTCAAATGTCATATGCAGTAATATAATAATATAATATGCGTAATATAAATTCACAAATTGCAGACCACTTTTTTTGGTCTTCAGATATATGCTGGTTACTTATTTGTAGGGATGTGCAGTGGAGCCAATATCTGTATCTGTATCTGTATCTGTAACAATCACAAAATTATTCGTATCTGCATTCAGATAAAACCGGAAGAAGGCGGGGCTTTAAACAGAAGTTCATACAGTTACTTGAGAAGACCGTTATGTCTATGGTTTTACAGCCTCTCTGTTTTTTCGTAGTTATCACTGCACAAATATACCTTGTATAACTAATAAAATATTTTTTTATGATTTTAACATTTATTTAAATATCTTCTAACAGTTGGGGCCGATACCCTCGTACAGGCAGTGCTTCAAAATGTAGTGCGGTTGTGCTTCGGGCAACGTGAGTTCAAGTCCCAGTTTGGGGACCTTTTGTGATCTGATAAATAAATATTTATATATCTTCTAATAAACAAATATTTTATTAATAAATAAATATTTAAAAATCTTTCTCTTTTAAGGAGAAAACAGAGTAAGGAAAATATTTGTGTTTCTAGACTATTTGCCTTATGCAGTGTTCTAAAATATAAAATTAATAATTTTAAAAAATAAATTCATCATTGTCACGATCATGGACTTTTATACAATCATACAAGCAGAGAGATGTCATGGCAAACGTTTAGTGATCATTTAAACATGACTGAATGAATTCAAGGCGCACATTTTCATTATGCAGAACTGTTTCTCTTCAAGTGAGTCTAATATGAATTTCATTAAACAAATGTGCGTATGCCACTCAAACCAGCAAAAGATAAAGGAGCAAACATGTAGACCTAGTAGAAAATGTATATGTATTGTATTTCTGCTTTCCTGTCCCAAACCTATCTTCAGTAACAAAAGGGCCATTTAGAGTCAGTTTGAATGTCTCACATTTTTAGTCACATGGTAGGAAGGGATAAAAGAAGATTGTAACTGTTGCTCTGTCTCTTTTCTTGGCTGGCGATCATTCCTTGCTGGGCTCTGCTTTCTCTCTCTCTCTCTCGCTCTCTCTGTGAAAGTGAAGCCATAGCAGGTAAATGGCTTTATGGTTTTTCTGAACTACCAGGTGGTTTATCCTGGAAAAGGGATGGGTTCAAATATTTAGGAGTATATGTTGGCAATGAATCAATGTTAAGTAAAAATTGGGAAGGAGTTCTAGAAAAAGTAAAAGGGCAGATGGAAAAATGGAAATGGCTTTTGCCAAAAATGTCATTTAGAGGGAGGGTTATAATAATTAATAATCTGGTAGCTTCAGTTTTGTGGCATCGTTTGGCTTGCGTTGATCCTCCAAATGGACTTTTGAGTAAAATTCAAGCCATTTTAGTGGACTTTTTTTGGAGCACTTGTCATTGGACACCTCAGAGCATACTTTTTCTGCCCAGAGATGAAGGAGGACAAGGACTTATTCACTTGCCCAGCATGGGGGCAGCTTTTCGACTCCTTTTTATTCAAAGGTACCTCACAGGACCTAAGGATCTAGTCTGGAGAAAGGTGGCTGATGTTGTTTTTAATCAAGCTGGCAGACTGGGCTTGAACACTGCTTTGTTTTTGATGGACTCGAGCAAGCTGCAGTGCAGTGGACTTACTCCATTTTATAAAATACTTTTTAAAGTTTGGGACTTACTGAAAAAACGGAGGATGAAGGTGACTTCTTGGTTGTACTGGCTTCTGGAGAAACCTCTTGTACATGGAGTTCAGTTTGATGTTACTTGTGAAGCTACACCTGGACTGATTCATTGTTTAATCTCCACTAAGACATTAAAACTGTATCATTTGTTGGATGTTGCTGGTCCTGGTCTAATTAAAGCTCAGTCCCTGGCCTCACATCTAGGTGTGTGGTCGGTACAGCAAGTAGAAAATGTTCTGGAAATTTTTAAACAGAAACTCACAGAAGAAGAAGAAAAAAAACATTTTGTTAATTGACTTTTATAATGGGAAACTTGTTCCTAATAATACAGATCCCTTCCCAAGTATTGTTTTTAGTCCCAATCTCAAAGGTCTGTCTGTACCTTTTCTGGACTTGATGGGGTTAGAAGAGTTAAGTTTGCAGGATGTTCAAAGTAAAGTTTCATATAAATGTTTTGTAAAAGTTTTAAATGAAGCAACTTTAAAAGAATGTGGTGATACAGTGTGGAGAGAGAGATTGGGATTGGATGATGAAGTTAAATTTATTTGGAGAGTTTTATACAAACCACCAATTGAAGTGTCATCATGTGTCCGTGCTCACGCACTCCCTCCACATTTGAATAATTCATGTTGAAATGTGGAAGTGGTCCGAATACAGTTTCTTACAAGACTTCTCAACCTCAGCATGGTGTAGCAAATTAGCACAAAAGGGAAATGTATATAAATAATTACAATTAATTATAATTAATTACAATTATTTACCTCAGCTGCCAGTAGTAACTGTAGCAGAATTAATATTACAATCAACTAATCTGTTCGTCCAGCGAACATTCAGTATAATTTCATATCAACTCTAAGAAAGGATATTTTCGTGGCCACAGAAAATAACTTTCTTACAGTAATGCATTAGAGCATGTAACTATAGATTGGATCGTAAAAGGGACACTATTTACAAGCGGTAACAGAACCAGAAACTCATGTAATTTGTGCACAAAAGTTTTATTAACTAAACACTAAGACATAACAAACAAACATACAAATCACTCATTCATGGGGAGGTTGGAAGTGGATGACTGAAACCGTTAGAGAAACCAGAGAATGCAGTTATGGAAAATGAGTCAGTTAACCACCTGAGTGAAACCATCAGCGCCGTTTTATAACGGGGGCATTGAACGAGTGTCCGGATGCAGTCTCGGATGAAAGTCTTGATGGTTTGGAGGTTCGGTGGTGTAGGAGTCGCGATCACGTTCTTCCGGGTTTGAAGAGTGATGAACTCCAAAAGATGTTATTCTGACTCGGTGGTGGTCGGGAGAGTTTTCTCCCAGAGGGAAAGTGAAGACATGGCTGTAGTCGCGGCCTGCCAGGCACAGCTGCGCCAGCCCCAGGATGGTGATGAGAGCAGAGACAAGAGACAAAAGCCAAAAAACCCAAAACCCCATAGGCGGGTCACTGATGTGAGGCCTTATAAGTTCAAAGCAGGTCACACGGTAACACTTTATTTCGATAGTCCACTTTAGACATTCTATTAACAGTAAGTAACTTTGCAACTACATGTCAACTAGCAGTTAGTAGAGTATTAGTAGACTGTCTGCTTAATATCTTCTAACACTTTCTTTGTCAACTTATTCTACTAACCCTAAACCTACCCTAACAGTCTACTCTGAGAATTAGTTGACATGTAGTTGACATATAGTTACAAAGTTACTTATAGTTAATAGAACGT